ATATTATAAATATTATTATTTTAGATGTTACCTTTTAATTACCCTTCTTTAATTTTTTTTTTAAATAATTATAAAAAAAACCCTAATTTTTAAAGATTGAATTTCCTCATGTAATTTTTGCTTATTGAAACCAGATATTAATATTTTAAAATATAGGTCAAGGTTATTTTAACTGGTGTCTCTTTACCAACACTTCTTACCACCATGAATGTGTTTAAGTTCTTGTCTAGACAATTTGCTGCGTCTCTGGTTGTTTTATCCTTCCTTCCCTTCCGTTATTTCTCCCTCTCTGTTTTATCTTTTTTTTTCTCTTTCTTTCTCTTTTAATTTTTTCACTTACTTTGTCATCTTTCCTTCTTGTTCTTTTTTAAGTTTAAAAATCTTTAAGCTATCTTTTTATTTTATCTCCAAACCCGTTGGTGTTGACAAACCTTGCAAGGTTATATCTTGCGGGGAGAAACAGCTATTCATATGGGGTATCTTTGAATTTTCATATGTAATTTATTTATATATGCTCTGTAATAAATACATTGAGCTCTCTTTGTGGATCAGCTTTAATATTTTATATTATTTGTATTTGTATTATTTACCCAGGATTTTTGCCTATATATATATATATATATATATATATATATATATATATATATATAATCTATACAATTGGAATTAAGACACCATATATATATATATATATATATATATATATATATATATATATATATATATATATATATATATATATATATATCCCTGATGTAACAAGAAAATTGTCCAAATCGTTTAACAGCATGGGATAATTGTCCATCTCAAAAATGTTTAATATCTAAAAAACAAACAAAAAACAAACAAAACAAAAAACAAAACAAAAAACAATAAATTAAGTGAGTTTCTTTTTCTCCAGGTTTTCAGATAAGATGTTTAGCCATCTTCACATCATTTACCGTAAGAATCACTGAAAAACCCTTTGAGCTATTCAGTTAGAAATAGAACAGGTTAAAATCGTTTTGTGTTAGCCCCACTATGTCTTCCCAACTGAGTAATGGTTAGATGATAAAGAACATTGAGGCCTTCAATAATGGTATCAACATTCATACTCTGGCTTCCATCTTCAAAGTCTATTCAAGAACCCTAATGAGAACGGTGAATAAGTTTAAAAAAGAGCGAACAGTAGGGAGAATAACTGGATCAGGAGGTCATAATAACAAGAGGGATCATCATTTCAACTTAGAGCAAAATACATTCTTATTGTTCAAAGTAGAGTAGTGTTATAAAACCTCGGAGAATTCCAGTAAGATATCTTTAATCATTTTTAAGATACAACTATTCAAAGCTTAATCTAACAATTGGATAATTTTTCTGTTACACGATTTGGACAATTTTGCTGCTACACCTACATATATATATGTTTCATTAAAAACGACAGACAAGGTACTACGGTTAAGCTTTTTATTTAATTTTTCTTGTGTTCTAACAAGAGCTTTCTTTTGTGGACAAAGAGTATGTAAGAACTGTCCAAATGTTTTATATTTCCGAGCGCTTTCGGCTATATCTTTAGCCATTATCAAGGATGATTTGATTTTTCAGCTTAATTGAGTGTGTGCGTTCTGTGTATGCCTTAGTGTGTGGTAGGGATGTTTTTAATTTCCGAATACGGTTAGCACATTGTGGTATTGTTCGTAGTTAATATTGTTAAGAGTTGGCTTTTTCTTTTTTATTATTAAAGCTTCCATTATTTTTAGTATTTTTTTGCAGGTGGATGCAGTTAATATATTTGTGTTTTCTACTAGTATGTTTCTAATGGAGTCTGGTAAATTTGTGTGTGTGTGTTTAAATGGGTTCTAATGGAGCTGTGATCAGATAGGTGTAACGTAAGAAATTAAAAACATTTGGTATGATTATTGAAGGCCTCAATGTTCTTTTTAATCTAATCATTAGTCTGACGATTGCATCTAGCATGAAACAGACTGTCGCTTCTAAGTGTTGACTTCTATGTTCACACGCTCTATCTCTGATATTGAGCACTTTATCCCATAAATATAGCACATCTTAAGACTATATTTCTTCATATATTGTATATATATATATATATATATATATATATATATATTATTCAACCTGTTGTTTTGTCACCGATAATGTATTGGAACGATTTAACCGTTAATTTACATTTACTTTTGTTCTAGTAAGCACATAGTTAGCCAGAGAGCCACTTGATCGAATTTTGATAACTTCCTATAGGACCACTGGTGAATATGTTTATTTTAGGCAAACAAATAGCATAGTCCATTGAACAACTTTGGACACGATTTTCAGAAAACTCTTTCTCCGAAGACATTTTGTCTAAGAATCTACCTTTACTTTGAAAGGTTTTAGAGAAAAGTTTCGACCGAAATTTTTATTACTTGCCAACATTTTCACACATAATTTTGTGTGAGTAGTAAGTTGATGTATGGCCGGACCCAGTTTTACTAAGTTATCTCCAAGTTAATATTCAGGTTCGATTTCTTATGAACTCCTCAGCCCAATTTCTCGAAACTGATAAACATTATTAATTATTTTCTTTTAAATTTTTAATTCCAATACTTATCAAATACAATCAAGCCTTCGCTCACGGTTTTTCCGCTGTTCTGTACTATAAAACTGAACCTTTCTATGCTGATCGTCGACAGATGTGAAACCGCTTTGGAAATCTATTCACCTCGGGTAAGCTGGTCACCAGCCACCTCGTCAGATTAATAATTATGAGTAGAGCAAATGAAAGTTTTGAAGTATTTGATAAATCAATTCTACACGTGTTGCATGGTTAACAATTGTATGTGTAATATGCTTATGAATACATATTGATTTTTTATACTTAGTGCACACGAACAATTTTAGCTACGACTAAAGCTCTTACGGAGATGAGAATACAAAACCGTTCACATGACCTCATGAATTAATTCCAAAGGCTTTTAAGCAAATATAAACATGCAACTCACATAACTGCGTTTTGATGACCTACAAGTAATAATGTCGTAAGACTAATGAATCCAACTCAATAACAAAATGATATTAATTTTTAGGTAACATTTTAAAAATTAATGATACACTTTTTTAAATCGAATTTCGAAGCATTAGGTTAATGGGTGCATATAACAGTATCGATGACTACTTGGATAAAGTTTTGCAGCAGTATCAATTCATCAATACCATCCATTATATGGTATAATACCTATGGGAATTGAGACGATAAATGATATCAATAAATTTCCCAGGTTTGTGGTGTCCATCTCCATTGACAATAGATAATGTTTTAAACTGTTTTGACATATATTAGCTTCTTTGATGTTTCTCATTACAAATTTCAGTTTTTGAAGACAAAGGTGTCGGCTATATGGTTAAAAAAAAGAAAGTAGACCTTTCTATAAAGTATTTATTTTGAAAGAACCAGTGGTTGGGAAATTTTTCTTCTCTTTTTTCCCTTTGTTTCAAGTGAGAACTATTTTATAATTCATCAGTAGAAACTCAACCAACGTGTCTAGCGGGAAGGCAACACCGTCCCGTTGACTGAAAGACATGCAAATCTCAGGAGTAAACTAAACAACGTTTTTTAGTCAATTGGGAGCAGATGACGATACATCCCACGAGAAATTCCTTTGTCAATATCGTCTAACTATGGTGGGTATTCGGAATGATTTAATTCAGAGATACTGATGAAAATGAAAGCAAGATTGTTCTGAAGCAGCTGAAGAGATATCTGTCGAGAGGTTTCTTTGTTAGAGGCTTTCTTACTCTGAGAATGTTTCAGATAATGATTTATGACAAATTGTAGACTGTGATGAACGCAGTGAAAACAGTTATTGTTCTGGAACGAACAAGAAATCTTTTCTGTTTTGTGTTTTCTTTATCAATAAGTCGAACAGCGATTCAAGGCAAATCACAGATGGTGTATATAAAAGATTTGAAAAAAGAGATTGTTTTAGTGTGACTGACACCAATATATGAAAATACCGGGTTTTGAAGTGATTGATTTGGAAAACATACTATATAAGAATACAAAGCATTTGGTTAAAAAGTTTTAAAGAAATAACAAAAAAAAAAAAAAAAAAAAAAATATGCACCAGAAACAAATTTTACAATATCCCGACAGGGAATCATTCAAATCAACTGCAAAAAGCGCGGATTTGCTGATAGTCTTCTTTTTCTGGTTGAAAATTGCTGGAATTTACGATTTTAATAATCCGAAGACGGAAAATAATAAGTATCATCGCATTCTCTTCATAATTCCGGCAATTTTTAACGTTCTGTTTTATATTTCCACTGCCACTTTCTGCTTATTTATCTTATTTATATTCCCATTGAAAAAAGAAGGCGAAACATTATCAATTATTACATTAGCCGTGTGTCTAGTGTCAGCACTGGGTCATGTAATAATGTACGTTGGCATAAAAAAATATTTGCCTGAATTGTCTGATCGTTTGCTACGGTCACAGTCTGAACATGCCAGACCGGGTGACCAATCGAACGCTTTGAGTTTCTGGTGGACTGTTTTAATTCTAGCTTTTCCAATCACCACCATACTCGCCTTGTTTGTGACCGGCATTGTAATCCAAGCGTTATCTAATTGGGAAAGCGGGTCCTTTTTCGTTTTAAAACTAAGCCTACATTCTTTAATTGTTCAGGCTATAATTCATCAGGCAGCTATATTGTTCCTGCTTATTGGGACTTGTTTCCACAGTTGTAATATGCTGAAGAAAATCTGCAGATCCATCAAGGATCTTTCAGGGATGGACGTTGAATGTCTTGGCCCATCTATTCGCTCATTATGCAACGAATACAGCGATTTCCTTGTTCTTATGGATAAATTGAGTAACAACGTAATTATTATAATTTTCGTTTTGCTTATAACTCTTGGAGAGTGTGTATTCGTTGTTAAAGATCTTCGTAATTTCATTGACGTATTCGAGTTATATGAGGTGGCCATCTTGTTCATTTTGTCGATCTGTGCCATGTTTACAATAATGATCGTCACACACGAATTATTTGAAAAGGTAAGTAAATATTTATTTATCTTTGCTCAGTTTACTATAAAATCAGCCTTGATTATATAAATACTAGTGTACCCGTGCCGTCAAAAATGACAGCAATTGTTAGAAAGTTTTAATAGTGAGATGCAATGAAACAAAAGTCTTAAAACAATGTATTGAGATTCTATAAAAGAAACCAATGAATCGTTTAATTAATCCATTCCCTTTATATTTTTTAGACATTCAATGGCATCTATGATTAATGCAGGGCCGGTGCAAGGGTCTCATGCCACCGCCTCAATCTACGATACACCCCACCACTCTACTATATCTCAATTTTCATTAATATTAATATAAAATACAAATTTTATTGTAACCTAATTATGTGAAATAATGGAGCATATACAATATAAGTGAACAATTCAACTAGAAAAATTGAAAATAAATATAATGTATCATATAACAAGACATATAGTAGATTACTCCATCTTGAATAAAACAATGAGTTGCGGCAATTTTTAACATCAAAATAAGATTTTAAAAAATCTGGATAATTTTAACACATTCAACATTATGGATAAAAATAGTGAATTTTCTATAGTGTTTTTTTTTCAAGATTTATCATCTGCAAATGTAATCACGACTTCACTACAGTCAAGGGATCAAGCATATTCATTTTCAATGGAATTTATTGCTAACCTGGATAACCGTTCATCTCTTCCTAGATCACAGATAATTTCTTTTCGTCACTGATTTCTGTTTTTGATCTCCAATTGACGTTGCAGAATTGAGGCAAATCTCTTGATCTCGTGGGGCAATTCTGCTTAGTCAACGTCACCCATTTTTCCGTGAAATCGTTTGCATTACTCGTTCAGATTTCCACTCTTCACTGCATTCACTATGAGTCTAAATTGTCAGTGAATTCATAAATTTCATTCCACTGGGATAGTTGAGAAAACCTAATATTAATTGAAGACAAACCTTGATCCACAAAAGTGATAATAAAGACAAATACAAAGGTCTTCTGTCAAGGTTAAAAATATTTAAAAAATAAAATATACTTTTCTGAAACTTTATTTGAAGAATATTAGCTGAGTTGAAATTTAATTAATCTGATTTAAAACAAATAGCATTTACTTTAAGTCTAAAATATCACAGAAATTTATTTTTTTTAACGCGGAGATAACTGTTTAAGCTGTTGACAGGTTGACAGCTTGGCTGACACCGGAAGTTTATCTAATATTTTTTTTATGGTGGATATATCTGCAAAAATGACTTGTTTAATATAACGTAAGCACCTTTTTTATATAATTTTTAACTACCCAGTAATCTTACAAATTTAAGAAAAATATTCTCCGTAATCTAATGTTTTATTGAATTTTAGATACTTTGGCTTTAAATTGACTCTAGTTATCGCTTTTATTTTCTGATAATGTCGTATATGGATGGCCGCATTTACAAAAACCGGCACGTTTACACCCCCCACAAAAAAAAAAAAAAATTCAAAATACATTTAAAAATATTGGGGGATCGCTAAATAGTAATAAGCTATTCCGTTTATGATTAGAAAATATAGTTCTTAATAATATCACTTCTCTTGTACAAAATAAAACAGAATTTAAAAAGATTTAATTTTAAAAGATTTTTTTACCTCCACCTAAAAAAGAGCATATCATGATAAAAAAAATGCCCAAAATTTTATAAAAACGTTTTTATCGTCAAAATGTTTATATATTATTATTAAAAGGAAAGACCAAAGTATTTTTGATTGTTTAATTAAATTCTTTAATCCTTCCTAGAACGTTCGAAATTTTGGTTAAAAATTCTTGTTTTTTTTTTCTTCAGCGGGAGGACCAAAGATTTGTTAATGATTAGTATAGGAAATTTTAACGTCTTTTTTTGCGGTAAAAAATATTGATTTAGAAATTCTTGCAAAAATCAAACAATTGCCGGATTTTAATGAAACTTTCAGGACCTATTTACAAATGAATGAAATTATTTTAGAAATTTTGTTTTTTACATCTGTTACACGAACTTACTTAATTTTATGAAATTTCGAGAAATTAAATTTCACCCCCTTAATATTTACATTAGTTAAAACAAAATGCCTTGAAGAATTTAAATCATTTTGTTTTGTTAAACAGAAGCATCATTTATCTGCTTGGAATCGTAAAATAAAAAATGTAGTAAAAGTAGGTACAACCACAGATCGCGAAGGTTTATAATTCTAATAAATAAAGAATCTTTCTTGAAGGTTTTATTTTAATTTAATTTCAAAATATATTCCCAATAAGCAAAATACTTTGATGTGGTATTATTTTTAATATATTCCGAATAAGCAAAATACTTTGCTGTGGTATGCTCATTTTTTAGCAAATCTGTGGAGGTAAATACTTTTTATATGAATATTATTTTATTCAAATTTATACTTTAGGTAGAAAAATAAATACTGACTAGCACCCCCCCCAAAAAAAAAAACACTTATTTTTATATGCTGAAGTGATGTCAAGGTTTTTAAAGCAAAACTCCATGGAGGAATTTTCCTTCAGTTTGTCTTCTCTAAGACTATGAAATGAAAATATGACAATTCCAATATCCAAGAATCTTTATTATTATTATTATTATTTCTTTTTGATTTTATGTCATTGTATCTCCCCACCCACTCATTATACGTTTATCCTTTCTTTCATTATCAGCTCATTCTTTTTCTCACTTATGTAAAAGAAAACAACGCAGATATGAAAGATCACAATCAAAGGACTTGTGTCAAAGTATGGTTTTCTCACATAAATTTTCCAGTTGAAGTCCATAAAAAAATGTCTTATTGCTAAAAAATAAATTAAAGCAACAAATGTGGACTCCAAAGAAGACAATTTATTTACCAGCTTTGTCGTTAACTAGTTTTGTTTTTAGTTATTTTCTATTACATTTTAATTTTTAGTTTTAATCCTTTTTACAAAATATTTTTATTAGAATTTTTCTTAACCTTGATGGAATAACTGCAAAAGAAAAAAAATATCGTATGAAATTTCTGTTAAAATTTTAGTTTTTTTATTACGTATTTTAAAGGAATATTTTGCTTATTGGAAATATTAAATTTAATCTATTAGCTTGAAATTAAAAATAAAAATAAAAGCCTCAAGAAAGATTTTTTATTTTAAAAATTCATTTTAATCCTTAGGTATTATGTTTCTGTGGAGGTACCTAGTTTTATGTTATTAATTTATTTATTTAGGACTAACGAACGTTTCTTTAAGAAAGTAAATCGACTGTAATAAAAAGAAAATATGAGTTTTAATTGTATTATTTTTCGTACTTGGGATCCCAAGAAGTTTCTTTAAGGAATCCTAATTCAAAAATAAATAACGTATCTAAGCAAATGTAATTCAAAAGTAAATTTTTATACATTGGTATTCACTTTATACAAGGCCCTAGGGTCACTCGAGGTAGAGATGTTACAAAATAAGATAACGGTTAACCCTAGACTTGAACAGGTGAAGATTGTAGTAATCGGGGAAGCAGCCTCTTGAGAGTTGGTTCTACAAAGTAGCGGTTCGCGGGAAGAAGCTCCTTGAGTGGGGCTTAGATCTCACCAGGGGGGATACGAAGGGAGTGAGGATATTTGCTACAATGCGCGTGGCATAGTGAGTCTTAGCGATGAAGGTTAACACAGGTAGAATTAACGAGTGTAGTTCATCTGAACACTTTTCATGGCAATAGCAATAGAGCAGCGAGAGACTTGTAATACATGGCACAGTGGATAAAGGCGCTGGTTAGATCCAGTGACGGGGCCCAAAGAGTTGTAAGTTCAATACCTGTTTAAAGCAGTGGAGAACTTGGAGAAGTGAAATAACAGGAGATAACTGATAACTGACATCTATTAGACATGGCACGTGGAACAAGAACAGTCTACCTCAGCGAGCTAAATCAGTTCGACGTTCCAACCACCTGAAGAAGGCCGGAGCGTACAACGGCCGAAACGTTGTGATAAATGGCAACAAAGATGATGACAATAGTCAGAATAATGTAAATAGTGTACATAATACCTCATCTCAGAAATATAGACAAATACTGAAGGATCGGATAAATATGGCAACAAAGATGAGGACAATAGTCCGAATAATGTAAATAGTGTACATAATACCCCATCTCAGAAATATAGACATACTGTGAGAAAGGGGTTGCAGAGTGGAAAATAATTTGTTACTTACATGGACGCGGAGACGCTTTTGGGCTCAATCAAGACTGGAAAGTGTAGACAGGGCTGCTCCAGCCCTTATATGGCAGCAGTACTCCATTTTCGGCCTGATGTGGCTCTTGTAAAGGCAGAGGATAGCAGAGATGCCTTTGGGCTCTATCGAGACTGGAAAATGAAGACTGGGCAGCTCCTGCCCATATATGGCAGCAGTACTCAATTTTCGACCTGATCTGGCTCTTGTAAAGGCATAGGATAGCAGGAAACGTCAGGTATTTACTAGAGCGGTACAGGTAACCGATCACTTTTCTAGATGCTAGAAAATATATCATATATACGAGTTCTACTTGAGGTCTGGGTTGATTTTGAGTCCCATTAGGCGTTCAAGGCAAGGCACTCACTGAGGGAACATCCATTCATCGCGATCGATGATAGTTCAGGTTCCGACTGGCGATGATGGAATGGAATTAGTTTTTTTTTTTTTTCAAGGCATTGAATGCAACCAGCCAGTTTTATTATTACTAGCTGACGTACCCGGTAATTCCCGGGAAAGCGGATATTATCCCCAGTTCTCATTTTTTCGGTTATCCGAAAGTAACAATTCAAAATAAGTATCACGGAAAAGGGCTTTTTTGAGGAAGACCCTACCGCCGCATCTAAAATTTTAGGAAAAAATACCAATAAGTTATAAATAACAAAATTGTAAAGCGACTTACGTAATAACAGGCAAATCAGTTCTCCGAAAGTAACAATTCAATGTAAGTAACCCTGAAAAAGACTTTTGAGCGTTCTCAGAGAATATAGCCTTTAGCTAGTGTTAAAATAAATTTGCAATAGAGGCCCAAATAGACTGACATATAGTTTCACTATAGACCTGATTTATATATAGATTTACAAATAGATTAACAAAAGATTTACAACACTGAAAAATAGTGCAGTCAAATCATAAACACCTGATGATTTGGTGTTTCTTTTCAAGTTTGCAAAGGCTCTTGGTCTTGATAAACAACATTTTTGGTCTTTCCGTGTGGGATATAAATAAACAAATGATTGGGGTTGCCAACTCTTGAACATCCCACATAAATTTGGCTATGAAAGAAAACCTGGTCCAGCAAGGTTAAGGTCTGTCACATCCAAGGACTGCCTCTGAGCATTGTTAATGCTAATTGCAAAACCCAGTTTCATCGGGAATTGCAGATCTTTCAATATCACAGTGTGGAATACCTACTTACAAAAGTGATGGAAAGAAAAAGAAAAACACTCTAAATTAGCTATTTCCACTAATTCGGTATACGTTATTTTGAAAATGAATTTCTAAAAATGAAAAGTTTTCTTGAAGCTTTCATTTTAGCTTCAAATGAAAGCTAAAGGATTTAAAATTTACTATTTCCAGTAAGCAAAATACTCTGTGGTGTATTTCAAACAGAAATTATATTGATCGGAATCGATCGATATATTTGGGGTAGTCAGATTGTAATAAGCTTTAAAATATATGATTAGTAAATATAGTTTTACTTAATAACAATATTTCCTAAGAATTGTCTCATTGAAACTGAATTTTGAAAGATTTAAAATCTTTATAAACTATTCAATATAAAATTGTCAAAAGATGAAAACAAATCTTGTAAAAATTCATTTTTTGTCGAAATTTTTCTTCAGACAATATGGTCTTTAATATATATTATTCCTAAAAAGCAATTAAAAACTTCTCTAATTAGATAACGTCTTAGTGTTATTGCGTTTTTTATTTTTTCGATTCCGAACAAATTTTCGGTAAGACCGGGTCCAATTTTGAAAAAAAAAAAAAATCGGTGATTTAAAGAATTTAAAGAATTCTGCTTTTAACTAATATAGTCACTAAAAATTATCTTGTTGAATTTCTCAAGTTTTCATAAAATTAAGTAAAGGGCTGAAACACATGTAAAAGAAAAATTACCAAAATAAATTTTAAAAATTCAAAACTAATTTACTAATTTGTGAATAGGTCCTGAAAATTTCATTAAAATCCTACAATTTTTTGGAAACAATTTCCAAATTGATGTGTCTGTCACAGCAAAAAGAGGCCAAAATTTGCTATGCTAAAAGTTAGTACAGCCTCTGACGCAAGAAAAACAAGTCTTTTAATCAAAATTTCGAATGTTTTAAAAAGGAATAAAAACATTTAATTAAATAATCAAAAAAATACTTTGATCCTTCTTCTTAATAATAACATAATGATTTTGACGTTTTAATTATGTTTGAAGCAGGTTTTCATCACGGTGTGCTGATATTTTAGCGTTTTCGTTGAGGTATCTACAAATGAATTCGGCTGATAAAAAAAATAAAATAAAAATTCTATAGATTATTATATATATAGATAGATTTTAATACTGAGTGGAGGGAAAGGTTTAAAAAAACAATTCTTTATTAAATTTTTGATTTCTGTTTCACTTTTCGTCGCGATTCGAATTGGTATCGTCTAATTTAAACCACCGTAATTATTATTAAAAGTATAACGGGGAAGGGTACGTGGTTCATACCGATTAAGGACGTTTAGATTTTTAAGAAGGATGTCTATTTCTACAGTTGGATTTTTTTTCTTTACACAGGCGGCATATAGCACAAAAGTGTCCTTCAAATTGGTTGTTATTCCACAGACAACAATCGCAACCACGATATGCTTTTTAAGGGTAGGTTGAAATATGAGCTTAGGTAAAGTTTCTATTCGCAAGTATGCTCAATTTAAATGTTATTTTACATTTAAATGACTGAGTGGATCAAGCCGAATTCTTTGTATTTAATAAATTCGAACTAGACGAATTTAATGATGCACATGGCGAAATTTGAAACGAATGAATTTTTTTGCAATGTAAACGCAGACAGCACGGATATCGTATTCAAAAAAAAATTATGCTGAATTAATGTGTTAAATAAAAATTTTATATAGAAAATAACCTGCGATTCGTTCAGATTTTGTCCCCTAAAATTTAAAAAATCGAACAAAGATCTATATCTGACTGGAATTTTAAGCTTTATAAGTATTATTATTTCGTAACACGCGTATCTTAATATTTAAAAAGTTTGCGAGGCCAATTATTTTACTTGCTTAAACACAGTGAACAGCGTTTTACGTAGACCCGTCATCGGGATGCGATCTGGTGCCCTAGCGGTGGCATCATAGATTTTTATAAAAAAAACAAAACAAAAAACAACAAAACAATTAGCCTTGTAACAAACTGGATGTTAGTTTAACGTGTATGCAAATGTTCATCAATATTGGTTTACGGGTTTAGGTGGCAACTTAATTCAGATTTGATTTTATATATATATATATATATATATATATATATATATATATATATATATATATTATTTTCGTTATTCTTAAACTAAAAAAAAAAATAATTTAATCCCTATTGGTCTTAGACCTATTTTTTCTTTATCTGTGTGCGTGTGCTCGTGTGCGTGACTGTGTGCATATATATATATATATATATATATATATATATATATGCCCGTTTCGCAGTATTACAGCTCATCAGTGTGGGTAGACATCCGAGAAACTCGACTGATTTGGCATCAGTTAGAGACTCTACCCCGAAGCTATAGGCGCACGGGAGAGAAAGGGAATCTTTTAATGTATTATATACATGATGTATTTAAACGCCAAATCAGCAGCCAGACGCTCAATTCATATGAAGCGCTGTGCATTATAAGCAGGAGCAGCTACTGTTAAAAATTCCCTTTCCCCATAGTGCTCAATCTGATAAAGAGAAAGGTATATTTAGGCAGCAAATCTTTATCTAAACAAGTTTTTATTAGATCGACAATGGTTTGTTTGTTTAAAGTTTTATCATATTTTTCCAATTTTTGAAATTATACATAAACTGTTCGAAGTTCATTCATTTTGTGCTCTTTTTATTCCAATACTTTCGACCGTCTCAGTCATTATGAAGAACTGAGTGCTGTCATTGTGGTAAGCAAGATTCCGTATAAAAAGATTTAAGAAAGTGCATAATATTTGATGCATTTTTTGGTGCGGACATGACATTGAACTATTTCAAACTTTCAAAGATCTCTATAAAATACCAGGATGTAGCCAACGGAATCTTGTTTAATTGTTTATTCAATAACCAATTATTTTAGAGCCAATCCAGTAAACTTTATTGGATTTGAATTTAGATTTGTTACAAGTTGCTACAGACTGATCGCTGAAGAAGAAAGAATCTTATCAAATTCAGAACTCATTCTTACAGGTACTCAGCTAAACTAATTAGGAACCTATCCCAACAACTAAAAATTAATTAATGATGTTTTTATTGCAGCATGATGAATGCAAATTACATTTGATTAGTGTCAAACTGGATAATGTTCCCGACCAATTCAAAACCGATGTAAGTATAACTTTCCTTTCATAACCATCAACTTATAAGCCGTACAATGTGTCATGTATTTACCTTACTTGTCATTTTGTAAATGGCTGCCATTGGACGGGTGAGAGTCCTGGAGAATCAAAAATTGAAATAATGACAGCTTGTCATTTCGACTACACTCATTTCCCCACCGACATGCCGTTGCTTCCCTCTGTCTTTTCTATAACTATTTTCAAGCTCTTCTCCTTGGTACCTCGACTGTTTTGTGGGGTGCTAGTATGAGTGGGTAAATGTTAGTCCCCATTACGTTGCAGGAATCAAGACCAAGTAAATATTTACGGGTTCCTGGAAAATTTTCCTTATAAACAATATTGGCGGACTCAATGCGAGTCCAATTAAAAAATGAGTAACACAAAACGCTAAATATTTTTTTACCTTTATCCCTGACTTTTGTACAACGCAGCTCTGCTCTCTTGGCAACTCTGATCATGTGGTAACGTCTGTAAAATCTCCTTCCCCCCCTCCCCCAGGCAAGAATCTCCTACTAACAAAATATGCTTCTGTTATCAACGAGCAGATTAGGACTCGTTCCATGATTTCCTTCGTGACGTGCCATAGAAAGAAGTTTTTAATCATCCTTTTAAAAAATGCGCGTCTGAGGTCTCCTCCTGGGTGAAAGCCGGTATCGGCACTTTTATTCCAGTAAGGAAATACTAACTAAAACCGCGTTAATCTCCTTGGTTCTCACTTGCATGCTCGGCCGCTACAGCCTGCAGGAATCACCTATTCCGTCTGAACCAGCGACACGTCTGATTGAAACAGACGTCTTTTTGTCTCTACTCGTAACGAGTGCAAGAGTGTCCTCAATGAAGCGAAGTTATTGTTTGCTGATAGAATGAAACAAAGTATAGCATCTCACAAGTTTGGTTCCAGAGATTATTGGCGGCTCTACACGAGTGTGCTGAACAGCAGCAAATCCTCAATCCCTTCCCTATTCAATCTATTCTGATGTCTACAGCAGATAAGGTGAAATGCTTTGCTCGGAAATTCTCTTTCAACTCAACACTCGACTTATCTGGAGTACCCATATCGGACTTCCCCCTAAAAACTGAGGCTAACTGAGTGATATGCGCATAACCGTGTCACTGGTCTCGGATATCATTTTTAAATTAGACTTTCATAAGGCAAGTGGAGGTGACGGGATATCAGATGTCGTCCTAAAGAAATGTGCTCCCGAACTGGTCCCAATTCTCTCCAAACTCTACAACTATTGCTTCGCTTCTTCCTGCATTCCAGCTTGTTGGAAATCCTCCTCCGTAGTCCCTGTTTTTAAGAACTCTGGAAAACCTTCTGAGTCCTCTATCGCCCTGTTAGTCTCCTACCGCTTTTCGGCAAAGTATTCAGGGCTTTGATGAATGCTGACAAACAATATGAAGTCCATTTTGCCCGGTCTACCGCTGATGTGCTTACGGCCATCACTGAATAAGTATATCAAGTTCTTGATAATAATGGAGAAGTTCGTACAGTGGCTCAAGAGCATTTGGCAGGGTTCGACATGCTAGTTTTCTATGTAAGCTTCAGGTCTACGGTATTACTGGACGACTGTTTGATTTAATCCAATCATTTCTATCAAATCGTGAAATGAAGCTCGTTTTGAACGGGCTCACTTCCAGATCCTATCACACGATCGCCAGTGTCCCCCGAGGCTCTATCCTGGGTCCTTCACCGTTTCTGATCTTCATTAATGATCTTCCTGATGTCATCAGTTCCCAATTAGGTATTTATGCAGATTACACTACCATTTACTCCTGTCTCATTAGCAAATCCGTCAAAGTTGACAAAGTTAACCTGGCTGCTGCTCTTGAAAAGGACCTCTTGGCCTCAAGTTTCCAAATGTCTTGAAGTGGAAGGAATAAATCGAATCAATAGTTGCATCTACTGCAAGGAAAGTTAGGTCACTGTGTCGTGTCAGAATGTTTTTTACCGTTAGAGTCCATCTTGCACATTTACAAATCTACCATTCGTCCATGCATTGAATACTGTTGCCATATCTGGTCTAGTGCTCCTTGTATTCATCTCGATGTTCTTGACAAAATCCAAAGAAGAATCTGCAATGTAATCGACCATGACTTGGCATCTCGACTTCAGTCACTTTCTGACAGACGTGATGAGGCTTCCCTCTGTCTTTTCTACAAATATTTTCATAGCAACTGCTCTGACGAGCATTTCCCTGGTGCCCCGTCTACATGAATTTAAACATACTACTAGATTGGCACCTCGGTCCCACCCATTTTCTGTTGAAATAGTTAAATTTAACCGCCACTTCTACTCCAGCAGTTTCTTTACTCGTACTTCCCGACAGTGAAACTCCCTTTCGTTCACTTGTTTCTTTGATAACTACAATCTTCAAAAGTTTAAATGCAACGTCAATCGCCATTTTCTGTTGACTTGAATCCCGTTCATCTTTTATCCTTTCCTCAATCTTCCATACCCAGTCTTTTTTTCTCTCTTTCATTCTCTGTAACCCTCTGCGTACTAGTGACACTCCCATCTTGCTTGGGTTGAAATGATTAAAAAAAATAAACAAACGACAATGCATGTATGAACAAAAGGAGTACATGTGACGAAAGGAAAAAAACATGAAGCTCTGTATAGGAAGAATGTATTTGTTTGTGTGTGTGTGTGTAACAAGCTTCTGTGAAAGAATATAAAAGTCAAGAGAGAAAACCATGAAAATAAACATGTCCCAGCTGGGGAAACTTTACCCACGTACGACTACATCTGAAGGCCAGAGCAAAAAATATGTTCAAAGAGGCTAAGGAGAGAAATGCATGCTTAAGGAGCGCCCTCTAGCGACGGTTTTTGGGCAAAGTCAAGTGGAATAACTCACAAACGCATGAATTTAAGCATACTACCAGATCGGCAACTAAGTCTAATCCTTTTGCCGGTGAAATAGCTAGATGTAAGCGTATGTTCCATTCCAATAGTTTCTTTTCTCGCAACTCTTGCTCGTGGAACTCTCCACCAGTTTCTTTCTTTCCTGCCATCTACGATGTTCAAAAGTTTAAATGCAACATCAATCGCCATTTTCTATCTTCCATAATCCTTTTAATACTCTTTATCCTCACTAAAGTCTTCCCATTCTCATCTTGGTGGTATTATCGATTGAAAATAACATTTGGTAAATGTTCCCCAAAGAGGAATCGCACTCCTTCTTTTGGGGGACACCTCGGATCCCGTCGGGTAATAACTCTTTTCCAAAGCAGAAATAATGTCTGAGACAGAGACCACCTGACTTCGAGATTAACATCCATTTGATATTAATATTTATGACAGAATGCATTTTATCCTACCACTCATGACTCAGATGAGTGAATTATAGCGTGTTTGAATTTTGAAGTTGTGTTGTCATATCCTGATATGGCAACAAAAAATGATCATGACTAAAATTAAGTAGTGTAATAGAGGAAACTTGAAAAACAATGCAGTGGAAAGGAAAGTAATGAATAGTGCAGAGTCGAAGTACCCAAAATTCGTTATCATTTATGTAAAATACGTCATCATTTATGTAAAATACGTCATCATTTCTGTCAATGTACATTGTTATTTATCCATATACATATCTATATATTCTGTTTTGTTTTGTTTTTAATTCTAGCTTTGCATTTTCCAAGGACGAATTTTCCAACCGGTTATTCAATTAGATGAGTATCTATTATTGATGCGTCCATTACTCTTGGTAAGTGCGTCTGATTTTTCAATTTAGACTTTCTGTTGCCATCAACCTATTTAATATTTAACTTATGCTCATTCTCATCCGAAGTATGTAAGTAAATTATAAAAACAGCGTTCTAAAAGACATCAAAAGGATTAAGTAAGTAAAGATTTGGGAAGACAAAATTTCTGTATAATTAATAATTAGAAGCTTTCGAGTTGATTTTTGGTCGCCATTTGAGTTTGAGAAGGTATGATCTGCTGATGAACAAAAGCCACAAATGTTGAATTGAGAGAAACAGATAAACAAAAGTATGAGCTAAATAAGATAAAAGCTTTTATTCTCTCAGGAACTTTGTTTTTTTTTTGTATAGAACACACTGTTTAAGGATTGTTTCTTAAAGAATGTGTAAATTTAAGGAACATTCTTATGATAATCCCTTCAGAAAAGAAGTAATGGATGTAGTTGAACTTACTCTATTGTTGAATGAAAGAACGCAGTCTATACCCGAGGAGTACAAGTGATCCATTGCTTGCTTCATCCTTGGTGTGGTAGAAAAGGCAGAGGTGAACAACGTCAAATCAAAGGAGCTAATGACAAAATTAAACGCACCGCGCAAGGGCCCCGTGCAGACTTCCGAGTTTCAAACATACTTCAAATTTTCAATTTAATGAAAATAAATAGCCAATAAAATCACCTGTCTCACCTTCTGCACACTCCTACCTCTCACACTTCCTGCACACTCTTACTTCTCTCACTTCCTGCACCCTGTCACCCCCTGCACCTTCTTACCCCTCTCACCCTCTGCACCTTCTTAATTCTCTCCCCCTGAACACTCTTACCTCTCTCACCACCTGCACCATCTTACCTCTCTCACCTTTTTCACCCTCTTACCACTCTCACCACCTGCACCTTCTTATCTCTCTCACCTCCTGCACCCTCTTATCTCTCTCACTCCCTGCACCCTCTCACCTCCTGCACTTTCTTATCTCTCTCGCTTCCCTTCTCATCAACCCAAAAAAGATCTCACATCAAAGGACGCAAGTACTTTTCACAAATTTTATATTATCTTAAACTTAATTCTTTTAACTCATCCCTTTAATTAGACATGATTTTGTTTACATGTCCATAAATCCTTCAAAGAACATTTGCCACAGACTTTAACAATTTGTATTTTGAAATATAAAACTTTTGTTGTTTATAATACTTGATTTATTTTTTTATCTCATGTCTATTCTATTGTGTGGGTTAATCTATTCAAGAAATCCCAACTAAAAAGTATCCCCCAATCACCATAAAAGAATAAAGCTGTCTAGTTAGATTAAAAGCAGTGGCAAAAATAATTTGCATACATGTAAATGACGAGTGTAAAGAAATAAATGAATTTGAAATAAGGCGATATTTTATATTTTTGGTTTTTTATATAACGAAGTAAAAAGAGAGAGAGAGAAAATACCCATGTATGCACATAAAAGAAAAACATTACATGTAACCTCATCACCTATTCTACGTTACACCTATTATTACACCTGTTAATCCAACTCAACGGCTAATCTGGCCTGGCATAGTAAGAGGAATGATTATTGTTTATAGTCCACTTTATAAGCACTTGTAGAATTAGTGAAACAAATAGTAGCCGTGAAAAATGTCACGGTTTTCCCAGAAGAACAGGACCCAAATTCGAAAATAGAGAGAAAGAAAAAAATGTTCAAATTAACTACACCTGATATCTGGAGATATGATATTGAATGTGTAAAGGGAGATAACTTATTGTCTAGAAAAATGTAAAAGTGAATTTAGTGAAACGTTTAGACAAAATAGAACAGGGAAATTCATTTGACGCCGGAGGATATATGAACGCAGACCCAGTGAAAATAATTCCGAAAAAAAGACGTTTCACTCTACTGTATAACAATAGCTAAGAGAGTCCCATTCCCTATTTTACCAAAGGTGAAGGAAGAATTGAATAAACTGAAAACGAGGGAATTATTGAAAAAAAGGTTACAGAACCAACTGATTGATGTGCGCCTATAGTACCTGTAATAAAAAGAAACGGAAAAGTCCGAATATGTGTTGATTTGAAAAAGCTGAATCTACTAGTGAAAAGTGAACATTACATGCTACCAAATTTAGATGATATTTTACCTAAACTAAATTGAGTTATTTTTTTTTTCTAAATTGGATGCTACCAGCGGATTCTATCAAATTCTGTTAAGTAAAGAAAGCTATCTAGTCACGACTTTCATTATTCCTTTTGGAAGATATTATTTCAGAAGTTTATCTTTTGGTATAACATTAGCCCTGGAAGTTTTTCGAAGGAAGATGTCAGAATTATTGAAAAATATTCAAGGAGTCCAAACAATTATCGACGATCTTCTAATCTACGATAAAATTATAACGGAACACGACGAAAGACTAAAAGCTGTTTTTAAAACATTAAAAAAAGCTGGGATCAAGCTTAATAAAGAAAATTGTGAATTAAAAAAAAGACATGACTAGAATATTTTGGATACATAACTTCAGGAGACGGAATTCAATCCAGCAAGGAAAGTCTAAAAGCTTTTCAGAAGTTGCCTGCACCTACAAATTTAACTAACTGACGTCGTACAATCGGCATGATCAGATACTTAAGGAAAATTCTTACCAAACTTGTCTGAAACAATACAACCAATGACCGAATTATTGAAAAAGGACGCTTTATCTGTATGGGATTAGCCACAAGAGAATTCTTTTAAAAAGTAAAGAAATTACTAACTTAATTACCAATTCTATCCTACTATGATGCAATCAGACCTACAGTGGTTAGCACTGGCTTTAGCATTTATAGTCTCGGAGCAGCTCTATTTGAAGAAATAGATGGAAATTTAAAAATAATAGCATTTGCCTCACGCACACTCAATAGCGCTGAGAGGAAATACGCACAAATTGAGAAAGAGTGTTTGGGTTGTGTATGGGCATGTGAGGGGTTTGTCAGATATGTCACTGGACTTGAATCCTTTAAACTGTTGACGGACCATAAACTACTTATACCGTTAATAAAAACACGCACGATCTGTACAAGACCCCATTACGATATCAAAAACTTCTGATGAGACTGAGAAGATATAACCTAGTAGTAGAAAACGTTCCAGGGAAGGCACTAGTTGTACCTGATACACTATCAAGAAGTCATTTATCCGACACTGTTAGTAATACCAGCAAAGATGTGGGTATATACACATACTGCATAACAAGAACCAGACAAGCAATGGACAAGAAATTAAATGAAATAAAAATGGCTACTCAACAGGACACTGTATTACAGGAAATAATACTTCTCACATTAAATGAATGGACACACAAAGAAGGAAGAATAAAATAAGGCATAAGGCCATATTTTTCAAATTGGAATGAACAATTTACTATGGTTTCAGGACAGAATTGTCATGCCTGAAAAACTTAAACCAGTAATATTAAGAAGACTTCATAAAGGACACTTGACACAAAACAAATGCCGAGAGAGATAGCCAAAGAATTGATTTGGTGGCATAAAATATCTCAAGAGTTGGAGGAGTATAAAAAATGCTCGTTTTGTAACGTACATCATCCAAAAAAGAAAAAATTAAAAGTAACACCATTTCCTCATGGTCCATGGCAAAGAATCGGTACAGATATTTTCACTCACCAAAGGCACCGATATATTGCCACAATCGATTATTTCTCAAGATATATAAAAATAGCAAATCTTAATCCAATGACAAACAAATGCGTTATAGTGAAGTTGAAAAATTACTTTTCGCGTTGGGAATTCCTATTGAACTTGTCAGTAATAATGGGAAACAATTCTTAAGTTACGCTTTCAAAGATTTTGCAGACATTTATGGATTTAAATACATAACATCAAGTCTACATTATCGTCAAGCAAATAGAGAAGCGGAAAGCTCTGTTAAAGTAGCTAAGAGAATTTTGGAACAATCAGACACATTTTAAGTATTAATAGCATGCCAGAGTACGCCAATTCAAGTAACAATTGTCAGTCCCACTGAATAGATTATTGGAAGAAAAATAAGAACCACATTACATTTGTCGGAGTTAACTCCTCCTTAATTTCCTAATTGTTCACTAGGGGACGCTCTCCCTTCACTATAAATACTGGGCGATTTCTTGCCTCGTCCTCTTTTTCATTTCTTCATTTTCAGCGAACACATCTACAATGTAAGCTCTCGCAGAAGATTGCGTCTTCCCATTTGTGGGAGACGCCATGAACATTATATACACATACACGTACGTACGAACGTTCACCAAAATACAAAGTCTTTACGTTCACACACAAACACAAATGTTAATGTCTATTGTAAATTTTGTTGTTTAATACATATACTTGTTTGTATATATATATATATATATATATATATATATATATATTTGGTTGGATAGATGTGAGTTTGTGACTCTGGGTTTCACGCTTTAGCGATCCTCAGACAAACTGATTAATGTTTTAAAAATTTGGGTTTATGTAGATTGTGTGTATTGGTGTTATTGTGGAAGTGGTAGGGGAAACTTCGTCGTTTTGTCATTCATCGTACTAACGCAAACATCGATGTATGCAGACACATATACATACTTGGTCGTCCGTCGGGACTCATACATATATAAACATATGTGGGCAGTTTCGGCTGTGACATATGTATGTATACGGGTTGTTTATGTCTATACATACGCATTTGTATGTTGAAATTTAAACATTGGAAGTGTGGCGGAAATGTCTCGTTGAGTCCCGACGGACGACCAAGTATGTATATGTGTCTGCATACATCGATGTTTGCGTTAGTACGATGAATGACAAAACGACGAAGTTTCAGAGGGCTCAATAACACCAATACACGCAAAAAATACATAAACCCAAATTTTTAAAACATTAATCATTTTTGTTGACGATCGCTTCAAAGCGTGAAACCCAGGGTCACAAACTCACATCTATCCAACCAAATATGTTAGCTCTATCTCTGATATTGATCGATATTTTATAATAAGTACCGCGCATATAATATATAAATAATTATACATATATATATTTTTATTTATATTTATATACACTTTTCACACACACACACACACACACACACACACACACACACACACACACACACACACACACACACACACACACACACATATATATATATATATATATATATATATATATATTGGCCATGTTGGTTTTCTTTACACTTCTTTATGGTGGATTCAATCTCTGAGTCCGCCATGTTCTTTTTAGTGGACCTACTTCTAGCAGGAATAAACGCACATGTTCCTAATTTAACAACGCGTAAACCCACAGTCCGCTACACTTTTACATCCAAAAACGTTACCACCAAAATGGCCCGATTTCGCACAAATCAGGGAGAGAGACAAACTGGCAAAAACCAGAATGGAAAAGAATTTTAACAGTTTCCATTGTGCCAGAAATAACTAACTCTAAAAATAGGAGATAAAGTTAGAATAAAATTACATGAAGAGAAATATTGTCAGACTGAAGGAACGATCAAGTCAGCAGACACTGACAAGAGGTTGTATATTGTGACAACTAATTAAGGGGATTTCCAAAGAAATAGGAAACATCATTTTCAGGTTTTGAAATAGGCTTTTGAGAAATAAACCAATTAGTGATCATTACAAGGATCTTCAAACGAATAATAATACAAGAAAAAGTACTGGAAAAACAAGTCGAGCACGAAAAATACAGACCCCAAAAATACAGCGGGTTATCGCCTTTGGACTGTAACCAAAACAAACCTTGATTTGTAATTATTTATTTTGTAATTTGGAAAAGTTACAAATAAATTAATAAAGAAAATAAGCTACCTTAGGAGGGGAGATATTATAACAACATCATTAATGATGATGATGATGATGATGATTGTAAGAGAATGCTCGGATCAAGACGGATCCAGCGGGGAGTTTAAATAAAATACGTTGTTGAGTTTACCCTGTGTCGTGTCATCTCTGTGTTGCTTTGACTTTTTAGCGACTAGTCTCATAGAATATATATCTTTCCACCCTAAGCCCAGTGGAACAGTATGAATGCAGCTTAT